CATTGCCTTCTCCTCCCAAAGGTCAAAAGTGGACGGAAGGCGCAATCAACACTTGGGCGAAGTCGAAAATCCCATCGTAAAAAGCACCATAAGAGGCGACGCCTTGAGGCCGTTAGTCATGTGGCAGCCTTTCATCTGGGCTGCTGGCTGCGTGGTTGCATGGTCTACGAGATTAAAGTTAAAGGCTCTTGCGTGAGTCGTGAAAATATTACTCAGAAATCAGAAAGTTTGACGGAGGGAAAAAGGAGGATTAAGTCAAAAGACCGATATCGAAATCGAGACGGAAGATCGAGGGCTGGAAGCAGCGAAGAAGCAATAAAGTGAAGTCCGTCTACATGTCCAATATAAATAAAGTCAGCCAAAAACAGAAACGCGAAGATGACCACACCCTGCAACATGATTGTCGACGCCACGTTCTTCACATTCCTCAATTTTCCCCCGGGTGCTCGACGAGCTTGCGCCCTATTTATTTGCCCTCGCATCTGCTGCCCCTTCCTTGATATCTCTCAGTGCTTGCTCTTGGAACATGCGCACCCCACCTGCAGGACGCGGCACAATGAAGCATGCCCTTTTCGGGCATAAACATTCATGTAAAAAGGGCCACATCTTCCACACTGGGGGCATTCAAAGTCCTGTGCCTTCGCGCGGGGCTGGAAATGTCTTGGGGAAGGCCGGTGGGGTCGCGTGTTGCTGTTGATGATGAAAGTCATGATATCATCATGTCATATCCATGCGTGTGATACCCGAGCCCTGATTTGTGTCGCCTGACACTTTCAGACATGAAATGCTCCCATTGAACGCGAGAAGAATTATTTTGACTCCATGTTTTCTTCACTCTAGGTGTTTTTCAGCCGAGGTGTCCAAATAATCAGTAATGACAGGCAGCGTCGGAACCTCCGTCAAGCCCTCGATCTCCCAGCAAAATCATGAGGTTCTGGAGCGGATCCGGCACCACTTGGACGATCAGGAGCACAAAATTCACGAACAGCTCAACCGTTTCCAGCTAATTAAAAAGTACGGGCCACAATTTGGTGGGATAGGAGCGTGGGAGTGAAATGATGACTGATCGAATCTCTCTTGCCTTCAACGTATGTGATTTTCCGGTTGACAGGGCCGTGGAGCGGATTTGTAAGAATGACGACGCTTACATGCAGTCGCCAGACATTGTGAAGGCTCAGACGACACTTGAAGATAGTCCGTTAGAGCGCAAGGGCAACACGGTACGGACAGTATAGATGGAACAGGGAGGGGATGAAAAGTAAATCGTGACCGCGTACGCCGTTTTGTCTGTCCTTTAACCCGCATTCAACTGGAAATAAAAAACCTGGACAGGCTGCCGAGGCCCTGGAGCTTCTGAAGGCGGGGAACGCCGCCTTCTTGCGCGACGAGGTCCCGGCCAAGCAGTGTTCAGACAGGCACATTGGCCTCCACTTTGCACAAAAACCACACGCCATCATCATCGCGTGCTCCGATTCCCGGGTCCCTCCCGAGATGATATTCAACTGCGCTTTTGGAGAACTGTAAGTCATATTCGAGGGGATGGCCGCAGCTGAGATGAAAGGGAAAGGGAGGAAAGAGTGCAGTAGTAGCGTTCGAGTGGATGTTATCATACCCGAGTTCTTTCCCGGCTACGCGGACTACGCAAGCATTCGGGGGCATTCTCACCCTCACTTATCCACTACCCTCCCTCTTAGCTTCGTCATCCGCCTGGCGGGAAACACGATCGACGCATTGGCCCGCGCCAGTCTCCTGTACGCGGTGCAACACCTGCATTCCCCCTTGGTGGTTGTCCTGGGCCATGAAAAATGCGGCGCGGTCACCGCTGCCCTCCAGCCCCCCGAGGCCCTGGTGGAGGCCCCAAGGGACATCAAGACGCTGGTGAAGAAGATCCAATCGGGCATCGAATGTGCCTTGTTGGAGCCCGGCCTGGAGGACGTGGACGACGAACGCTTGCTGTGTGCGATCGTCTGCAACGTGCACTCCGTGGCGCGCACGCTGTCGGAGCACCCCGACATCCGCCCTTTTATCGAGCAGAAGGCGCTTTCTGTGGTGGGTGCTTACTACGCTTTCAACGGGGTGGTCTCCTTCTTCGACGACGGCGAAGACGGGAACGCGACGGGCAAGGAGGTGGGGAGCACCGTGAACGGCCAAGCCTCGCTCTGCATGAGCTGCTCGGGCACCATCCACAGGAGCTCGTCCCCCACGGCTGATCCCAGCCAGAAAGTGAACTCGCGGCTTTCGGTCTCGGAGGGCTTGAGCAAGAACACGTGAGGACGCCGGGGCACGGGGCCAAGGAAGGAGGGGAAGGAGGGGAAGGGAGCGGGGGGGCCTTGTGGGCAGTACCGGTACCTTTTTGAGGTAGGAAGGAGGGCTCGATGGGCTGGGCAAGCACATGTAGGGAACGCAAGTGCACAGGTCAGCGGTCTGTACGGGACGGGTGGGTGGGGAGTGGACGGGTGTTGCTGGGGGCGCCACCGGCAAGATCGACATTTCGAGCGGAGAAGGAGGGAGGGAGGAAGAAAGGAAAGGAGAGAGGGAGAGAAATAGGTAGGTGGGTTGCGCGCGGTGTGCAGGCCGGGAGCGAGGCCAGTACAGTGGTCCGAAGAAGGAGGACTCAATGGAAAAGGAAGCGCTTTCGCATGCAAGGAGGAAGATTGTCGAGACGAACCCTGTGGGAAAAGATTGTCTTTTATTTGGGTAAGATGATACGATGGTACCTTTGAATAAATTTATGTGTACATGCGGGAGCGAGAGGGTAGGATTGTGTAGGCGCGAGGTCGAATGCGAGGTAGCAAGGAACTGCGTGATAGGACAAGGAAGAGGGCTCTTCGTCGCCATTATATGCATAACAATACAGCCCAGAGGGGGATCGACGCGATACATTGAACGTGTCTGAGCCGTATTCCTTCTCTGTGGGACATCAGGTCCTATGGTCGCAGTGTGCATGCGCACGTTAGGTCTGGAGGACTTCTCGGAGGAGATCGGGGGGAGGAGTCGCCCGATGGAATATAGAGGATGCTAGCGCTACCCTCTTTACGAGTTCGAAAATATCAAAGCAAAGATACATGGATGAACTCGCCGACTTGCCATTTTTTTTCCCAAACGTGCCTCTTTCCGCAGGCACCTTTAACAATGTTATAAATTTTGTCCCCCCCCCTNTTTCCTTCACGGCAATGGCTGGAACGGCATCGTGGAGCCACGCTGCAGCCAATTATCCTGGGGGTACAAAGAGCTGCCATCCCCCTCTACCACATGAATGCTGTAGGCGTGCCTTGAGGCTGCCGAGGCGTTCTCCAGGCTGTAGTGGACCAGAGCGTGGTGCAGGAGCACCAACGCCCCCGCCTTCACTTCCAACGGGATTCCCCCACTCAAATCCCATTCCACTGCTTCCGGAGGGTCGAATTCTGTCCCTTTGTTGTCATTGCGCCTGCGGAAACGCCGAGAAACGCCCTGCCGATGTGAGCCGGGGACGGCCCATAGGCACCCATTCTCCTGCGTGCAATCCTCCAAAGCCCACCAGAACCCGACCACGGATTGAGGCTCCGTGTACAAGAACGTTCCATCTTGGTGCGCGCCAACTTTCCCGCCTATACGGGGTTGCTTGAATATGTACATGCTTTGGGCGACCAGGGGCACGTGCAGCCCGCCTACCGCCCGCGCCAATTGACCTATTTGGGGTGTATATGTAACCTTTTGGAAAAGCGGGTCCAAATCGTGCAGCGCGTGCCCCACTTTATTAATGCTGGTAGCTCGAGGCTGACGAAATGCGCCAGTGGCCTTGTCGATGGCTCCTTCTTCCCAAAAATAATGTATCTTGTCCCCGCTCTCCAGAAAATAGGTGTCCGACGTCCGGTTTTGTTCGTTCGTGGAAAAGACAGAATCGTGGGCCGCGAGATCAAAGCCCGCCACCAGATGATCCATGCGCTCACGCAAAGCTGTGCATGTGCCTTTGGACCAATAGCCCTCAAGGACCAGATAGCCATCCTCCTCAAATCGTCTTCGGTATGCCTCCCATAGGTCCCGGTCTTCCTCGATACCGGGAAGCCGCAAATCTTCCGAGCCCTCCGCACACCAGCGCGGCGAGGGCATACTTTGTGGGCACCATTGTCATATGTAGAAGAGGAGAATGAGAAGGTCGCTGGTACATAAGACAGAGCACGAAAAAATTCAGAAAGTCGACAGGGGAGGGGAGGTGAGGCAGGCGGTTCGCGGGTGGGACGTTTACCATGAAATGATGTCGGGCGACACGGTGGTGAGGACGGAAAACAAAGGTGAAAAGACCAACATACAAGTGCTACCGCGCGACCCAACACTTTCCGTGAAGGGTTCTTCATTCCGGTTGACATTGTCAAGCTTTTTTGGCAGTGTCAGGAATAAAATTGTTGTATGTGGGCCGACCTGGAGCCCGCACCAGACTTCTTTTTGCTCTTCTGGTGCGAGGATAAGAAATACTATCGAAGTCCAATTTGATTACCCATTTGCCGCATCCCCCCTTTCCACGCACCATCCACCAGAACAAATATGCCGTCTTCAGGCTACAGCGGTTCTTTTGCGCGCGATAGCCATAGGGAGCATGAACGTGGCCATCGTCATCGGGAGAGGGACCGGGACAGGCATGATCGTGATGGCGGCAGTGGGAGGAAACGGGCCCGGGAGAGAAGCAGGGAGCGTATTGACACGCATCCGAGGGACAACGGTAGCGTGCGTAGTTGTTTATCACCACGCCGACGGAGCAATGGGTCCGAGGGAGATGGCAGGGGGCGTCCGGCAACACATGTCTCGCGTGTCTCGTCCTCCCCGTTGCCTTCTCGCGGAGGCGCACATGCTAAGCGGAGTCCGAGCCGTCCTCCACGCAACGAGCAACCACCACCCCTCCCACCAGACACACATCTGGCCTTCTGCGTCAGCTCTTGCGCTTTTATCGTAGAGATGGGGAAGGCATTGCATTTGGGCAAAGTGGCCACCCATACCGCCCTCGTCTTCTTCCATCGCTTTTTCAAGCATCAGTCTTTCCGGTCCCACGATCGATTGCTGGTGGCAGCTGCTTGCATTTACCTGGCCGCCAAGGTGGAAGAGCGGAACAACGTGAAGCTATCCCTCATCGTCGTGGCGTATTTGAAACGACTGGGAGTGCTTCCTCCAGAGGTGGACGCCCAGGATTACAACAGGAACGCCGTGGCCCGCGAAGAAGTGCCGACGTGGAAGTCACGGGTCATCACGTACGAGCGCTGTCTTCTGTACACCATGGCTTTCGATCTCACGGTCGTCCACCCTTTCAAAGCCTTGCAGGATTTGATGAAGACGGTGCGCGACGTGATGGCGGAGGAAGGGAAAAAAACGGGACTGTCGGGGGGCCCCGGGAAGGCCCTGGCGTCACTCCCCTTCCCCTCCGCCTCGAGCTCGTCCGCTGTCTCGGCCTTGGACCATCGGACCGTGTTCGCCCAGGCGTGCAAGTTCTTGAACGACAGTTTCTTCCTCCCTGCCCTCATCGAGGTGGACGCCACCTATTCGGCCGCCCTGGCCCTGTATTTAACCCTGGTGCTGTACGACATAAAGCCTCCCGCGGGGAAAGGGAGCTGGTTGGAGGTATGGCACATCCAGGACGAACCACGCTTTCTGAGGGATTGCCTGCTGGCAGTGAAGACCTACGGGGAGGAGAGCGGAAAACGTCTGAATCTGGAGCCGGTCCCGGATCCGGCCGCGGTGGAAGTGCCCCCGGCTGAGGATGCGCTCGGCAGGGACATGGCGACGTTGTACGGTGGCAGCAAGGCGGGGGGGATGCCGGGGGGGTTGTTGCGGAATTTGACGCCGTTAGTGTAGGGGAAAAGGGGGGGGTGTGGTAGAGTGACGGGACAGTGGTCATATGCTTTGTGGGGTCTCGGGGTGGCCAAGCACGCAAGTAGGATAGACCGTCACTTCCCGAGGTCTCTGCGTGGCGGTGCCGGGAGGAAACGTGAGCCCGAGCCTCACTCTTCGGGTCGACGGACAGGCGACGGATCTCCCCGTCGTCGCGTCTCAAATAATCAAAATAAATGGTAAAAAGCTATGCATGCAGTGTGTCAATGTGTCTCGCACAGACTTTACACCGCCCATTCCCCGCGCGGCTTTCTTTCCTTTACACCCCCCCTTCGTTCAGGCCCACCTCACAGAAGGCCGACCCTTTCCCCACGCCCACGTCGTCCTCCTCGTCCTCCTCGTCCTCCTCGGGAGTCAGCTCCCCGCTTCGCACCCATGCCAAGGAGGTCGTGGTGGACAGCCCTATCTCCGATGCCACCTCATCCTCCTCCTCCCCTTCCCCGGGCCCCGGGGCCAGGTCCCATTCCCCCCTTTTCGTTTCCTCCCCGTTTACCGCCCACCCTCCTTCGCTTCCGCGGCTCTGGCGTGTGAAAGAGAGACTTTTGCTGTTCCGGCCGCTCTCCTTGTCGTAGCTCGCCGCAGTGAGGGGAGACAGGCGGTCCAGGTTTCCCTCCTGCGGGGAGGTCGGGAGATGCTCGGTGCCCGGCAATGGATGCTTGCGATGCCCAAAGAGCCAGGACACGGCCACAGGGGTCGTGCTCCGCCCGCCCTCCCCGCCCTGGGGGATGCGGACAGAGAAGGCGGGCTGGGGCCGCAGCGAGAGCACGGGGCGGAAGCAGTTCGTGAGCCGGAGGCGTCCTGCCGCCCGCGCAGAGAGCTGGTAGGATAGCGTCCACAAATGCCCGTCCTCCGCGGTGGTGCATTGCCAGACGGGCGTTGGCGTCGCCCCTGCCGCCGCCCGAACCAACCGCAGGGTTCCCTCCTGACAAGTCAGGACCTGGGCGAGCCGAAACGACGGATGCCAGTGGCGGGACATGCTGCGACCTGGGGGCACACAGTGCAAAAAGACGAGGCGGAAGGAATCAATGCTGTCCTCCGGGTGCTTGCGCCAGGTGTTGTAGCCGTTGGGAGGATGGTAGAGGGTGCCCCTTGGCCGCACGTGGGCGTGGTTGTAGAGCGAATGACTGCCCGCCCCGGAGACACCGCGGCGGCTTTCGAGCATGGCCTTTCCCGCGCGTGCCTTCCGTCTGTGTGTCTCTTCCAGCCTGTTTAAAAGCGTGACCAAGAGCTCCCTCACTAGCTCTTCTTCATCTTCGACAGGCGAAACAAAGAGCTGGGGGCGGGGCGAGGGGGATGACGTGGTTACATGACTAGAAGGCGTTCGAATATAGCACCCGTTGCACAGTTGCCAGCGTGAACCATCCCTGTTCGCGTCAGAGTCGTCTTTGCTCCTCCCGCGTGGCATCCATAAAGAAAGTGATGCGTGTCCTTTCCTGTGCGGCCAGAGCAGATGTTTTTTCCACTCCTCTAGCCCGTCCTTGAAAGGGCGGGGGTCTTTGTAGCAGCGGGCAAGCTCTACGTGGTGCAATTTGCCCTGCTTGGTTTCTTTTTGGCTGCTGTGCCCTGGATAAGCCGCCGTGTCGTCTGGAATGGTGCACAATTTGAGAAATGTTGCCCAGACCTGCCTCCACCTGCCGTCGTCTCGGATCAAATCGGTAATATGCGCTTCCCAAACAATGCAGTCCATATCATCCTTAACAGTACATGGATATGACCCTCCAGCCACTGTGGCCACCGTGGTCGTAGTGCTGCTAGTGGGGTCGGGGTGTGGTAGCGCCGGCTGCTGCATTCGGTAAAAAAAATAGTCGATCCTTTTCCACTGTTCACGTGCGAAGGAAAATCGAAGAGAAGTAAGAGAAAGGGATGTTGCCTGTTTTTCAAAAAAGTTGACCCGTGTAAATTTGGCCCCGCTTTCCTTGGTCGCATGTTTTCCTACGTCGAAAAAGCATAACGGACATCTTCACTTTGCTTCCAGATGAAGTATGTCTTTTCCTCCCTGCGGCCATAAATGGCAAGCCCCGAATCAAAAACAGACCAAAAAGCGGGGCCTGCACACCTGAAATGAGTTTACATACACGACTTTTTGTACCCCCATGTGTGCCGTGGCGCTTTGGAGCACGTGTTCGGGTGGTGGTAGCGGGCGGGAAGGTGGCTTGGGCGTAATGAGCGCGCGAAAGCCATGCACTACGGGGACCCGCTGAGGGTTGCAGAAGTAATTTAGCCTCCCGATTTGGTGCATGAAGGGCCACTGCACTACGACAGGTTCGAGTCGTGTCTTTTCAAATCCTAGGCCACGTGGCGCACGGTTTTTCTTTCGTAATATGTGCTAATTTTCATCTTTTGAGCGGTGTGCTGCCTTTACTTCGTTGGGTCATGCCCTCTCCTATCTTTGCAGTGCCCGAAACTGGAATTAGAAGGCAAATCAGGCGTGGCTGACACGTTTTGTTGGTTGGAATTCTGAAATGTGATTCAAATGCTTCTTATAGCCTAGCATTTGCATGTCGCCATGGCGGCAGGGTAACTGTCCGGATTTTTTTTGCATTTTGGTTGATTCGCACACTTGGGATACGAACGTCGGCCGGGTCTGCTGCTTTTGCTTGTAGGCTTAAATCCTCCCTTTGAAAGCTGTGACTTTCAACAGCACTCTTTTGCACCGCAAAGGCATGCATTGACGCCATCTGATCAATATTCAACACAGGGAAAAAAAGCCCATCGCATACTTTAGGTCCAGCGCGTAAAGTGTGGGAGCCGCATGGCCTAGGGCAGTGACGGAGCGACCCTGCCGTTTTGCAATCCAAGCTGAATTTCGGACGAGCTTCGACGGAAAAAGACGTTTGGCTCCTTTTGGTCGTCCTTTTCTCTGGAAGCATCGAGGGTGCGAGACTTTAAGGTCGCCGCGTCAGAGTCGT